AAGTGCAACTGCTCTCTTAATCACTTCTTCGTATTTTTCCATGTTTATTTATATATATATATATTTAGCTGACTTGAGATTTAGATCTTATGACACAACCGGTCTGCTGATTGTACTGTTTTACAAGCATCAGAAATTTTCCAGAATTGAACCATTTCCAGTGACTTCGACTATGTCACTAGATAACGACCAGAACTACTTTTGTGGGTACGTTAGCACAAGTCGTTATATATAATTGGTCGCGGAAATGTGCCTGACCTATGGATTTTCAGGAGTTCATGAAAATCAGGATTCCGGAAACCTTCCAGATTTGTTCTGAGAGTAACGATCTTTCTGACCCTGATGATTTCCGTGTTTGATTTCTCCCTTCTAAGGGTCTGATTTTTCAAACTGGCAAGACGCAGGACAATCATTCTTCTTTGCGGAAGTCAGGGGTTTGGAGTTTGAAAGATTTGGAATGTTCTGAAGGGCTGGTAACGCAAAAACAGTTTCAGTCCGTGTAGCATATTTCAGGGTGTCCAAATTTGGCGATTTCGTTATTTGTGAGCAGATGGAGAGAATTGTACGTTGGAAACTTGATACGCACTACACTCTCACTGCGTATCCGATCATTGTAGTTAAACAAGTACAGTGTTTATGGGAGAAAATCTTAACCGATGCCAACAAATTCTGCACGGAGTCGGGTTATTGGAAAGTTGTGATGAGAGTGGTCGTATACGGCTGAACTCTTCCAGGGTTCCAATAATTTCTTATCATTAGACACATGCTTTTCGTATGCGTCCCCGTGTATGATCTCCGGTTGGCCTTTTGCATCACCCAGCCTTTCAAACTCTTTCCAGTGGCTGAAATAATGACAGGAGGTACTTGACACATCCTGATGTGCTTGTTGCATACTGATTTTAACTTAGGCCGTAAACCTTGCTATAAGTAGTCTCAACCTGTTCTTTTGCACCTAACGTTCACATTTGGGTTTTCCAATATACTCTTCCGTTTTTCTGTATCGATGCAACAAATCCGTCCCCTCAGCCGATCAGTAAAAGGCATTCTAATGTACAATAGAGACTATATCAGCTGACGAATTTTTAAAAATGTCGTCAAATCGTTAGTTGACAGAAACACCCAATCAATCATCTTGCCTATCCTGCATGTAAGGATTTGGATAACAAGCAAGCAAGCGAAAATATCTTCCTCTGAAAATGTCAACGCGTTGGATTGGACGCTAGAGAGAGCCGCACCAGGGTACCGGTAGTATCATGATTCTGCCATTATCTTCAAAGGACTCGTGATGTTTGAGTCAAGAAGGAGCTGCTTAGGAAGACAAAAAATCATTATTGCCGCGATTTTTCAAGAAACATTTAATCAAGCGAACTTCACACACAGCGCGTGCATCATTTGCTACAGAATAAGATTGCAGCAAAGCAAATAAGGAAAAAGTCTCATGGAATAACTCATTCAACAAGATCCGCATGCACCCAATCATCAGTTCCACGACACCCAAAACTCAGTTCAGTAAAAGATGTCTTTAACGTGTCTAATACCTCATTCCGCCTAAGGAAGGAGAAGGAAAAACTCCTGGACATCGAGCCAAAGTTGTCGTTACATACAAATGAGATACACAAGGAAGGGATGATTGCAAGTGTGGAATTCACGCAAGGAACCAATAGGCATCTACTGGGGAAAAGGATGAGATCGCTCATAGCACGAAGAACATCTTAAAGAAAACCATGTCACCACCTAGCATGGAGACGCAGAATTCACTGTTCAAAGCTAAAGCATTCCAAAAGAAGAAGATCAAAAGAGAAGGCGCCAACATTCAACAAAGGGACCCGCACGGCAGTAATGAAAATTCGTGATTACAAGAAGAAACCGTCAATTTATTAGGAGAAGGGGTATACACATATGTCCAACTTCTGAAAGAAAAAATGATTGCCGCACAACTAGTTAGTGTAAGAAATCAAATCCTCAGAAGGGAGAAATGAATCTCTGACATAGATAGGATCAATGAAATCTTTAGAACTATCGAACCAAGTCTGGACAGTTTCCGGGATCCGTACCTTTATGAAATCCGAAAGTCCATAAGGTTAGAGTTCCTTCCTCCCTTGTGATTAACAAGATCAGCATTCAGTGCCTAATACACACACTTGGGCAGTTTTTTGCTCCTATCCAGAAGAAGGTACTGGCATCTGAATCCGACAGTAACAGACGCAAACAGAATGCCGCTGATTTGAATGGAAAGGTTCACACCCGCAAATAGAACCAACTACCTTTACGGAATATTTTGATATCGTCTCTCCCTGCATTAACATCCCACTACGCTAAAGACCACAGACACGCTGAGGATCATCGGCTAACCCCTAGAGAGGGATTTTCCTCATAAGCCAACTGGAGGAGAGACAATGTAGCCGAAGTCGCCCGCAT